AGTATGGTGAAAGAATACAACCCTGTCGCACACCTTTCTTAATTTTAAAACATTCAGTGTTCCCATGTTCTGTTTGAACAACTGTTTCTTGGTCCAGGTGCAGATTCCTCATGAGCACAGTTAAGTATTCTGGAATACTCATACTTCGCAATGTTGTCCATAGCTTGTCATGATCCACACAATAGAAAGTCTTTGTGTAGTCAAAAAAGCACAGATAAAGATCTTTCTGGTATTCTCTGCTTTCAGCCAAGATCCATTGGACATCAGCAATGATATCCCTCATTCCACGGCCTCTTCTAGAATCCAGCTTGAACCTCTGAAAGTTCTCTGTCAATGTATGATTGTAGCCATTTCTATATTACCTTTAGCAAAACTTTACTCACATGGGATATCAAAAAGATTGTCCAATAATTTCCACATTCCATTGGGTCACCTCTGTTTGGAATGGGCACAAATGCGGATCTCTTCCAATCAGTCGGCCAGATAATTGTCTTCCAAATTTCCTGGCATAGATGAGTGAGTGCCTCCTGTGCCACCTCACTTTCTTGAAAGATTTCAGTTTTTAATCCATCAATTCCTGGTGTCTCGTTCTTTGCCAATTCCTTCAATGTACCTTGGACTTCCTTCTTCAGTAGACAATTCTATACTGGGACCAAATTCAAGAGGAATGGCCTAGCATTCACCATCAAAAAGAACATTTCAAGATCTATTTTGAAGCACAATGCTGCCTGTGATAGGATAATATCCATATGCCTACAAGGAAGACCAGTTAATACCACTATCAAATTTATGCACCAACAATTAAAGCCAGTGATGGTGAAACTGAAGAATTCTCCCAACTTCTTCAGTCTGAAATTGATCAAACATGCACTCAAGATGAGTTGATAGTTACTGGTTTGGAATGCGAAGGTTGGAACCAAAGAGGAAGGATCAGTACTTGGAAAATATAACCTTGGTGATAACATGGTGGGTTTGAACCGTAGCCCTTGTGATTAGCAATCCAGTGCTTATCTTACATTTCAATATTTGGAATCTTAGACATAAATAAACTGGAGATTCTCTTCAGTCTAAGACTATAACGATCATATTATGACGGTGAGATTATAGGTAGGGTTGCTACATAAGATTGTAGTATAGTTCGTACTGCACAAAGGTCAGGGGGTGAGAGCAAACTGATAGCTAGTCTGCCTCTGCCTAGAGGAAAAGACTCTTGTCTCAGTCATTTGACTGCAAACCATTTGTCCAAAGTATTGTGCCTGTCCAGAAAGGGCATCTTTAGGATAGAAGTACTGAATGTGGATGATTAGTTAGATTACAACTATGGTAGAGTGTGGAAGTGAACAAGAATTACCATCCCCTTATTCTGCTTTAATTCAGTTCTTTCAATTCTGAAACTACAGGCTCCTCCAGCAGCCCATTTGCTTCTCTCTCTTCCTCATGATAGTTTTTTCTTCTCCCATTTTTTTTTTTTTTATACAAGGATCCCTGATTGCACAATGGGTTCAACATTTTTATACAAGGATCCCTGATGGCTCAGTTCTAGTCTGTCCTATAGTGTTGCTATGAGTCAGAATCAACTTAACGGCAGTAGGGGGTTGTTGGGTTTTTATTGCTATTTTGAAATTTGTTATACTCTCCTCAGCCTTCTTCCCTTGCCTCTATCATTTTACCTTCCCTTATCATCTTACCCTATCCTTTCCTCTCACTTCTAAAAGACAGGTTGATGAACAAGATCTATCCCACTTTTTACCTCCCCATTGAGTTTTGGGGGTTTCTGCTCAAAGATTGTTCTTGACACAATTACAATGTATTGATTTTTTTTTCTATTTATTCTACTGTTGTCCCACCAGCCTCCCCTAGGAGTCTTGGTGTGGTGCTGTAGGAAAACCACCAAGTTTGGTGATTCTAACTCACCAGCCACTTCTTGGAAACTCTACACAGGGTCATCATGAACGGCACTTAACAACAGTCTCCCCTATCTTCCTAGTAAGAGGGCTAGGACTTTTAATATAGACAAACCTGATGGTCTGCTTATTTTGTAGTTTTAATGACTTACTGTGTTGCCTTAATCAGAGGTGTTGTTGTTAAAAAGGAAGATTCCTCAAATACCCCATCTTAACCATATAGGGGAACTCCAGAGAAGGAATTCTTAGGCAGCTCTATGCTTGAGGTTAAAGATTTAGATTTTAAAAAACAACAACCCTTAGACATGTGCTTATTCTGTCTCTAGTGCATAGCCATTGTTTCTGCATTTTTTACACCTGGGCTTAAACTAAATTGCCCATCTTTGTATCTACCTTCTTCCTCCTCACTGCTTATATATCTGAGATTATAATCTTTTCTCTGGATGATTCATATCAGAAATTTCTAATCAATAATTACAAAAGCCATAGTAATCATTTTCTCTGCAAGTTGGTCCAGAATTTAGCCTTGTTGTTGTTGTGAAGTGCCGTAGAGTAGGTTCCAACCCATAGCAACCCTATATAGGGTTTCTGAGGAGCAGCTGGTGAGTTTGAATTGCCAACCTTGCAGTTCAAATGGCTTTGCAGTCTGGCGCATTAACCCACAGCGCCACACTAGGACTCCAGAATTTAGCCTTAGCATCTACTTTTCCTCACCCTCTGAGCGATCCTAGTCACCCTTGTGATTTTGATACTAGCCACCACTGATGACCCTGAGACCTGCCTTCAGGTTGGAGTTCTTTACTAAGCTCTGTATCACTGTGCAAAGTGCCTAACGGAAATGCTCACCTAGTATGCTTACACACCTCAACTAAGCAGAACTCCACTCTCTGCTGTCCCCTAACAATTTTCTATATTCCAGTTTTGGCACAAGTATCCATGTGCCACCCAAATCATACCCACATTCATGCCTTCTTTCCTCCTCATTCCTCTCAAGTTTGTCCCCTTCACTTAGTCTTACTCTTACTATTAGTTAACATTACCATCTCTTGCCAAGATAATTGCAAATGTCCCTAACTAATGACCTTGGGTCCTGTATTTCTCTTTCAAATTGCCTTCTACTTGATGCCACAATACTTTTTCTAAATTGCAAAGCTGAACATACTATTCTTTTAACTATTGTTGTTGTTTTAAGTGTTATCAAATAGGTTTTAACTCATAATGGCCCTGTATAGGGTTTGTGATGAGCAGCTAGTGGGTTTGAACTGCCAACCTTGCAGTTAGCAATCCAGTGCTTATCATACAGTACCACACCAGGGTTCTATTCCTGTAATAGAACTTGTCAAACTCATAATGGAACTAATACAACTGAGTATGAGGATTCACTAGACTAAGGACAGCCCATTTAAATGCTAAAAGACATTACTTGCTCCTCACAGCAGAAAGTTAAGTGCTAAGACAGGTTCTTCAATCTCTTATAACTTAAGACAGGGGACAACTCTTACCTCGCCCTGTTTCTACTCTGTACCTCATTCCATTGGTTCAGTCAGTGCTCCCCTTCATTCCCCAGATTTACCAGATCCTTTAATCTCAGAGTCCATAGACAACGGCTCCCAAGTAAATTACTGACAGGTTTACCTATTGAGCAGAAGGTTGTGAAACAGAATTCATAAAGGAAAGATGCTTGTTGTTAGAAGAAAGTAGTGGAGTCTGAAACAACCACAGAGAAAGTGGAGACCACAGAAGAAGAGCAAGGGCAGTGAATGCAGCTTTGCCTTTCCCTTTTCAGACCCTGAAAAGTCTCCCCAGTATTGCTCTTCCTGTGTTTGCGTGTGACCAGAAAGTGCTCCATTAAGTGAGCAGGGACAACATTTTCCTACTATTTCCTGATCAAACCCATTTAAAAAAAAAATTTTTTTACTAATTCCCTAAGGAATTGGCTTACCACTCATAAAGGGAATCTTGGAAAATTGGCCAACTAGTTATGACTGACATTTTCTTTTTTTTTTTTTTTTTTGAAAACCTATTTATGGCCAGTCTGATTTTTCTAGGCTCATAATTTTACATTTAGTTTTCAGTGTCAGATCATGTACTTGCATTTTTCAAGGTTAGGGCCACCACTGCTAATAAATATAAATGGCCAACAAATAAGACTTTCAAGTATAGTATTTTTCTTAAGTATGTGGATGGAACTTAGTAAAAATGCTTCCACTCTGCCTACTGAATGTGCAACAAATACTTTGTTCTTCACTTATCTATTCCCACATAGACCTGTATGTGTGATGTAAAATCGGATTCTACTAGATGTTTGACATAATGTCCAATTTTAATTTGAGGACAATGATGTTCTTAATCATCCACCAATCAGTTAACAGCCAGATTTCCAGCAACTAATAGGATGCACTTTATTTCAGTCAAGCATAAGCCAAGTGGATAGAAACTTCAAGCAAGGAAAGATTTTCTTTTTCCCAAGCCCTAGAACAGTGTTCCCCAAATTTTTCTTCAATTGTGCATTTCTACCAGTAAGAGTTTACTGAACAAACATCTCCAGAATTTATTTTATTTTTTACTTTTACATTGTATAATCTGTATTATAAATGGAAATAAAAGTTGTCATTTGTCTTTCTTACCACAATGGGTTCATCTGATGTATATATCATAACTGGAAGGAGTTACCACTTGCTTCTGGAAGGGTTGGTGAAAGCAAGAGTTTTCAGTGTCAAATCACTGAGTGAATATGACCCTAATTTATCCATTGGCTCATTCGCTTCAATTAATCACATCAAAATAACTGGCTTTAAGCCTTTAAGAAGAAATTAAGATTCAACAACTGAATGATAATTTAAAAGACTTTATTTCCAGCAGAACAGCATGCTAAATGCTGTATTTCATTCTGAAAGAAAAAAGCTAGACTGCTGATTTTACTATAGGATGAGGAGAAAAGCAGTAAAGCTGCGATGTACCCTTGAAGCATGTCAAAAGTGGTATGGTAATGAAAATGAGGGGTTTTATCTCATAAGGCCATAAACATTGAACAATTTCATCTTCCATTCCAGGAAATCAGCAGTCTTCAATATAGCATGGCAAAATGTTTAAGATTTGTGGTAATAACAGGTACTGCAGTAGCACTCCGTGTGATTCTCTACTTTGGTGTTTCCCATTATTGTAGCCTAAGGAGGAATGGGGAAAAAAAAAACAAAAAAACATATATATGTATAAGTACATATACACAGATATGCATGCATACATACATATGTAGCCAGATGAAAGTATATAAACGTTCACTGCGTTTATATACTTTCCCTTTAAACTGTTATTTACACTTTAAAAAGGTAGATTTGCATTGCATAACTATGGCATAGTCTCTTACAACCTTCTCCTCTTCACTTCTACCCCACTCCCTTCATTCTGAATAAATCCAGCCTGTACCCACAAGACTTCCAACTCTATTAATTAAAAGGACAAATGTAGTCCCTCCCTACATAAATGGGCATCAAAGTGTAGATCATCTTTGGCATTGAAACCCATGGATGTGCTCTGTGGGCATTTCTCTGATTGTTGTTGTTATGTGCCATCCAGTCAGTTCCAACCCAGAGCAACCCAAGAAGTGACTGGTGAGCTTGAACCACTGGCCTCCTGGTTCAAACAACTTTGCAGTCTGGCGCATTAACCCCCAGAGCCACAACAGCATTCCATTTCTCTGATTAGACTGTTTAAAACCTTGGGGACCCTTTAAGTTCTCACTTTGGTAAATGCTTTGGCCACACAGCATGTGGCCTCTGAGGTAATGTTCTTTGGAACCAGCATTGTTTTCTTGGACCTCGCTGGAGTGGGATATGCTCTGGAGAAGCAGCAGCCCATGCATTGATAAATTTGAACACCCATCTTGGAGAAGTATTTGTTTTCTTTTAGCTTGCATTCTGGACAGCCTAGCATTAAAAAGACAAAGAGCAAAATAAGCCAAAGAGGATTAAAAAGAAATCACAAATACATCTTTATATATAAGCTGTAAATGGTCTTTTTTTTTTTTTTTCATTGAAGCCAAACTATTCTTTCGTATAATTTAATCTTCATACACAATATCTAGTTGTACTGATTACAGTTTTTACATAGGAAAACAATGTTTGCAGATATTCATGGAAATCACAGTTGTGGTTTTTCTCTCCTAAAGTATGCATTCTCTATCTCAATAGTAATACTGTACCTATAGGGAACCCACAACTTAACAGAGGAAAACACCATGCTCATCTGAAAGAATTTTTCCCAGAAGCAAAATAGTTTCCCCCTTGGTTTGTGCTATTGTTTTCCCATAAGAATTTCAAATATTGACAGAGAAAAAAATGTCAGAATTAAGACTACTCAGTGTGAAGAGAGCCTGATATTAGATCTGGCAGCTGCACTTGGGATTACAATATTACCACTGATCCAGAGAAAAGCCTTATCCAATAGTTCACAATTTCATAGCAGATGGAATTATATCAGCTACTACATTTTATTTTTCAAACAATACAGCAAAACAAATTTACTGAAAATAAAATGCGGTGTGTGTTTTCTCTCTCTCTCTCTCACTTGTTAAATGATATGAAAATTCATCTACAAAGGGAATGTTAAAATCTTCAGAAGTCTTTTGGGAGAAATGTAAGAAAACAACAATAACTGAGGCAATGAAATGAAAAAATCATTTTCTGCTTATAAAACTCAGATAAAGAATAAAAAGGAATCTATTTCAGATGAAAATATACAAGTTGCTATTTAAATGGGCACGTGAAATATCATTCCCTGTACATTTTCTGAACCTAATTTAATTTGATGTCCATAACTACAAATGCCTAAATATGTATGCAGTATGCAAAGACTTATTATCACATTTGAAAAGGACATATTAATCTAATTAATGAAGTTAGTGATGTACATCTAGAAATGTATGTGGTTCTTACTATTGCAAACCTAGTTTGGTCACGCACCCTGCATTGCAAACTCTCCATCAGGATAGGAATGGAGGAGATGCAGAAACACCGACAGTACAGCCAGAATAACAGCTGCATATTTTCTGTAGTAATCCATGGCTTTCCTGGAAAACAGACCTGAAGGGAAAGAAAGTCAATATAAAATTGGCTTATCAGTCATAACAACAACCAGTAGCTTTTAACATTAGTGTAGTGGTTATGAATCGGGCTGTGAACTGCAAGGTCAGCAGTTCAAAACTACCAGCTGTTCCGTGGGAAAAAGATGAGGTGTTCTGCTCCCGTAAAGATTTACAGCCTCAGATACCATGTACAGGGTCACTATGAGGTGGAACCGACTCCACGGCACACAGCCACCACCACTCTAATAATGACCACTGTCTTGATAGTTCTCCTTTTGTTGCTGTTGTTGTTAAGTGCTGTTGAGACCATTCCAACTCATAGCGACCCTTTATAGAGTTTCCAAGGAACAGCTGGTGAGCTTGAACCACCAACCTTGTGGTTCAAGCTGGCTCTGCAGTCCTGCGCATTAACCCACAGAGCCACACCAGGACTCTAGTTCTCCTTTTAGCGCCTCAATATACCTACCCTATCTATTACCAGGAGTCCTGGTGTGGTGCTGTGGACTAATGTGTCAGACTGCAAAGTCGTTGACCTTGCAGTTCAAGCTCATCAGCTGCTCCTTGGAAACCCCATACAGGGTCAATATGGGTCAGGATCAACTCGACGGCACTTAACAACAACAACATTACTGTCCAGTTGGCTCCAACTTATGATGGTGACTACATATTTGTCCATATAGAACTGTGCTTTATATGATTTTCAAGGACTGTAACCTTTTGGTGTGGTGCTGTGGGCTAATGTGCTGGACTGCAAAGTCAGTTTGAACTGCAAGGTCAGTGGTTCAACTTCACCAGACGCTCCTTGGAAACCCCATACAGGGTCAATATGGGTCAGAAGTGAGTCGGTGGCACTTAACAACAACAACAACCTTTTGGATGCAGGTTGTCAAGCCTTTCTCCCAAGGTGCCTCTGGGTGACTTTGAACTGCCTATCTTTTGATGAGGACCTAAGCAAGTTAATCATTTGTACAACTCAGGGCTCAGTATACATATGTTAACCCACCCACTGCAATGAAGTGAATCCTAATTCATAGAGACCATACAGGGGAGTGTACAACTGTTACATAGGATGTCCATGGCTATGAATATTTACGAAAACAAACTACCTCATCTTTGTCTTTCAAAGTGGCTGGTGGGTTTGCACCAATAAACTTTCAGTTAGCAATCCAATACTTAACCTACTGCACCACTAGGGCCCTCTTTTTAGAATGGAAGTAGAAAATTTAATCTTCCCATTCATCATGTTGGATTGGGTTTAATTATAACAACAATAAATTATTTCTTTAAATATACTATCTATCATTGTTGTTCAGTGCCTTCTAGTGTAGTTTCTGAGGAATGGCCCGTGGGTTTGAACTGCCACCCTTGTGATTACCTGTCCAGTGCTTATCCTACAGCACCACATCAGGACTCCACCATCTTGTTAAGAAGTCTCAAAAAGGAAACAAAGGTAGATAAAAAGGGGGCTTCAAAAAGTTCATGGAAAAAATGGATTAAAAGATACCCACTGAATAAGTTTCATCTTGTCTAGATGGGTCTGGTGAAAGGAGATGGGGATAGGAGTGAGTAATTTTTATCATGACTAATTGTGATTGCAATAACTGTAAAGGTAGATGTTTTGTAACATAAAGGGGCAAGTATTTAATCTTACATTCCAGGAACAGAGGACCCTAGGACCATCAAGAGAAAAGAGCATGAGCAAAATGTGGGACCCTAACCAGAGAAGCAGCTACTCCAGAGATAGAGGCAGGGGTGATGGCATAGAGAGATAGAGCAACTGAAGACTCTAGACTCATGGAAAGAGAAAGGCTGTGTGCTAGTGGCCAGAAGACTGCTTGTAGAATATATAATCATTTAAACAATCCTTTGCTTGTTTAAATGATTATATATTCCAGAGCGGTTTTTGTACATTTAAAAAAAAAAAACCCAAAGGAAATAGAAGCAAATACTATAATATATGATGCATGGCGAGGATTGTAATCACAGCAATGAAACAAAATACAATAGGATGAGTAGAAAACCTATGTTCTCCCATGTACACTATCACTCAATTCACAATAAAAGCTTTAAAAAATAAAAAGATAATAGAATTTTTCTATAAAAGTTTTATTCGTATATTACATATGTGCAGATGTGAGATGTGAGATGTGATATGATATGATGTAATAGATAAGAATCTGAGCCTGAGACCATCCTTCCCAATTGCAAGTTAGAGAGAGAAGAAAGGAAAAGACAATGTTTCTCCTGCCTTTTCACTGGTGGTAGATGAGCTCTAATCTCACAGTCAAAGTACAGTAGTAAATGCTGACCCAACAAGGGTAGACCACGTGTAGATACCCTTTTATCTAAACATTTTGAATGCATTAGATCAGGCTATCTAAACTCAGTTGACTGACCATATACTTTGTATCTAAGAATAAAGAGGCAGAGATTTGATTGAGTTCCCACATGGTCAAGAAAAATCTCATATAAGAGGAGTGTTCGCTCCCTGTAGAAGTGTTGCAGCTTGCTTAGGCTCAAACCATGAGCGATAAGTGGAACAGGGCATCCAGTACCAATGAAAAAACAACTCAAAGCATACGAAGAACAATTAACACAAATTTTACACAATTTCTTAGAAAACTTAAGAGAAGAGAACATTTCCCATCTCATTTTATGAAACCAGGATTATCCTGACATCAAAATTAGCCAAAAACAATACAAATTAAGAAAACTACACACCACTATCTCTCATGCATTTAGATGCAAAAAATCTTTAGCAAAACATTAGCATGCTGAATCCAATAATTGAGGTTGTCAAAGACTTCATTTTACTCTGATCAATCATCAACACTCATGGAAGCAGCGATCAAGAAATCAAAGGATTTATTTCCTTTTAAAGTGTTCAAGAGCAAAGCTGTCAGTTTGACATCTAAGGTTCACCAGACCCAAACCATAGTATTTTCAATAACATCATATGCATGCGAAAGTTGAACAATGAATAAAAAAGACCATAGAAGAATTGATATATTTGATTATATGGTATTGGAGGAGAATATAAAAAGTACCATGGGACTTAAAAAAAAAGTACCATGAACCACCAAAATAACAAACAAATCTGTGTTGGAAGAAGTATAACCAGAATGCTCCTTAGAAGCCAGGAACTCTCATACTTCAAACATGTTATCAGGAGGGACCAGTCCCTAGAAAAAGACTTGGCAAAGTGGAGGGTCAGAGAAAAAAAAGAAGACCCCCCCCAACAAGATGGATTGGCACAGTGGCAGCAGCAATTGCTCAAGCAAAGCAATGATAATAAGACTTTTAAAGAATTAATCTAAACACAGCACTAGGCAGTGTTTCATTCAGCTGTGCATAAGGTCACTGTGAGTCCGTACCGACTCAATGGCACCTAACAACAACAACAACCAAAATGTATATTAAAAAAACATATACACCACAACCAAT